TAAAGTTGTATGTAATGGCAACAACTTGGAATAAGTGTACAACTTTTCAAGTTGATAACTTGGAAGGGAACAGATTCTTGGGTTATATAAATAATGAAACTTAAAAAATTATCAGTCATACTAATTTGTAAATTATCTACTATACTACAATTGGTCATAAACATTTCTATGAATGAAATAACTCTCTAAAGATGAATTTTCCTTTTCTAAAAATGGATGCTCTGACAATTTCAACTATAAAAAAACCTAACCATAAAAAGATCACAGATTGCTTAACAACTCACATTTAAATTATAAGATAGTAAAGATTTGCTAATAGTAAACACTATATAATGTATAGTCAGAATTCTATTTTAGTTCTTTGCCTGAAGTAAACAATTTCCTTGACAACATTAAAGTATTGAATCAAATGAGCAACCAAAGGATATTAAGATTTTACTAAAACTAGAAATGAGGAATCCTAAATCCTTAAGAACACACATAAATGAGATCGATCATTTACTAATTATAAGACAATGGGCAATTTTTCAATGTTTCCACCATCAGTTTCTTCATCTGTAAATTGGGGGTGGTAACTATTTATAATTCATGAGCTTTTTAGAGGCATTAAATAAGATAATATAATGGGGACATATTTAACACAATTCCTAGCAAATAATAGGTCCTCAAAATCTTATCTAGCTGGCAATGCTAGATAATACAAAAGTAATCTCTACTAATAACAACACTTTGGGAATGAAAGACAATTAAAAAACAATTAAAATTATTTTTAAATCAACTGTAAACACTAAAATTCCACTCTCGTAATTTAAAAAAGTGTAAAAATAAATCTTGCACGATTCATTATGTATTGTTCACTACAAACGTAGGTAGTTAATCCACTTATATTTCTTAGGAGGGACATATATAAAGTAGAGGCCCTCGGCCTGGCCTGTGCCCTCTCGCATTCCGGGACCCCTTGGGGGATGTCGGACTGCTGGTTTTGGCCCGATTCCCACAGAACAGGCCAAGGGACCACACCAGTGCTCAAATCCATGCACTGGGCCTCTATTATGCATCTAAAATCTTTGGTTAACCTCTTCTTGCCCTCCCCTGCTACCCCCTGAGAATCATCAGTCTGTTCCATGTTTCCATGCCTGTGTGTTGAGCATCTGCCCCTTGGTGGTCAGCACACGTCATAGCTACCAAACAAATGGTCCTTTAGACTTTTATATATAGAGAGAGATATAGATAAACTCAACCAACCACACAAGGTCAAGATTTCTAATGTAAAAGTACTATTTTCATGGAGGAGATGGGACCAAAAGACAGGTATACCTCTCTAAAACAAGAAAAGCACCTTGGATTCAAGATAATTGAAAAAGTCTCCCTGAGCAGTTGATAGAGTATCGGCCTATGATCTGAAGGTTCCCGGGTTAAATTCCAGTCAAGGGTTGCAAGCTGGATCCCCAGTGTGGGTTATACCACAGGCAGCCCATCAGTAATTCTCCCTCATCATTGATGTTTCTCTCTCTCTCTCCTCTCTTCTCCTCTAAAATCAATAAAAAAGTAAATAATTTAAAAAGTCAAAAATGGTATCAGTGTCAGCACTGAGCAATACATAACCATAACAAGAGCTCAGATACTTATTAAAGCAACATTAATCTAACAAAAATCTATTAAGAGTCAGGGAATTTCTTATTGTCCCACTGACTCACTACATGAATCCGTACCAAACAAGTAGCCTTCTGACGTCGTTTTTTTCATCAAAAAATAGAAATCATGCTGGTCACTTCTTTCACAGGAAAATTAGAATATTTATAAAGGAATTCGGTCACTTTGAAAAAGGACCAATTTAAAAATACAAAGACAACTCCTAAAAATAGAGAAAACTCTACTTTAAAAGTGTATTTTTAAATGACTTTCAAAGGCTAGATGAGCTCATAAATAACTACCAAAGTCAAAGTAGTATGCTCAAGATATTAAAATAAACATCTTCAACTAAGCAGTTAATTATCAGACTTCTATAAAGTTCCTAGTCAGTAATCTATTCTGTTTACGGCAAATAAATGTGACAAACAGAACTGAAGTGACATTTCTCTAAAAGGAATTTTTATCTACTTCAGTCTTTCCAATCACTTCATATGGAGCTGAATAAAATTTCAGAATTACATACAAATTATGCTTTTCCTAATAAGCAACAGGGTGGGGGAAAATGAAATTATATAAAACAAACTTTTTAGTTTTTATTTACTTATATTAATTTTTACATCTTATTTTTAGAAAGTAAAAATACTACATTATATGTCAAAATATAACACAGGCAGGTTCAAATGTTTCTCGTTTAATGATGAATTGGTACTAAAAAAAATTTAAATATGAAATTAGGAAGCCTTAAAAAAAATACATGTTTGAGCTGGACAATCCGACTACAAATAAAGAAAATTTCATGTGAGAATTGGTATGGCTTTGCTCACAATATTTTTGACATTTAGTAATCCTTACTATGCAGAAAACTAAAACTACATTTATCACCATACTGAAAACTTTCTTTTCCTCCCCAAAGAGAATCTCAAAATCTTCTTTCTTCAAATATAATATTTTTCTTCTTAAAGGAGGACAGTATTTTAATGATCACTAGCATAGGTTTAAAATGCTTTTAAATACTAGTAAATAAATGTTAAATGACTTTAAAGGAAAGCATCCTCTTCTCAAAACACTAACAGCAATTATTTAATATTCCATTTTAATTTTATTTACTAGATTTTCATTATTTATGTGAAAACTGATTTCAATTATTATAAGTTATTGTTAATTCTGCAGACTAAAGAGAAACAGTAAACCATAATGTTAAAATTTCCTTTTGGCGTATTAGGAAATATTGCTCCAAATAATATAACTTATCATTGCAAGATTACTGGAATAATATGGATGTCTCCTTTCACTGAATTAAAAAAAAATAATAGAAATATAGAATTAACCACTGGTGATGTCCCAACCAATACAGTGGAAGCACAGCGGGCTATTTACTCATAATCTCTGTCTAGGGAAACACAAGTTATTCATTCCAACTAAGTTATCAAAAATTTTAAAGTTCCAGCTTAGTTTTTATTCAAGTTTTATGTCTTCTCCATTAAAAATAACCTAATCAGTTAACCAAATAAAAAATATTTTCAACTTACTTGAAAGAAATGTTCATGCCACCTTAATAAAAGCTATCACACAATCTATATTAGAGATTGCTAACTATATACAATTGGGAAAACAAGAGATCGTAAGTATTCATTCACTTTAATTACAAAGCCACTAGAAAAGAAAAGAAAAAAAAGTCACATAAAGAGATACCTTACACAGAAACATCTGTAAGAAAGCTCCCTTTAAGGAGAAAACTCTAGAAGTTCCTTCTGTTGATGAAAACTGAGCAAGGAGAGAACTCCTTCCCAATATGCTCATCCCTTGGCACATCTCCGTATTTTATTTACATAAAAGTTGTGAAGACAATCCCAGGTTCATACAAGGGCCTTTTAAACGTCTATTCTGAAGCCCTTATCTGCCTCCCCACCACACACCCTCTGCTTAGGACGTGCAGGGTCCCTCCTCTCTGTGCTCCTGCCCCTCTAGGCCCCCTCCGCATGCCCCCACCCGCGCAGGCCGGGCCCGCGGCGAGCAGCGCCGGAGCGGAGCGGGCAGCACAAAGACAGGAACGGAGATTAGTGGGAGGGAGGGGGGCCGGCGCTGGGGCTCAGCAGGAGCTTCAGGCTTTTTAAAATTCAAACTGCTCCCTGACCAATACAAATCACGGACACGCCACCGACTACTACACGGATTTATGGCATTAAAAACACGCCTCGTACGTGACAGCTATATTAACTTCACTCTTTTTAACGTGTTTCCATACGTTTGCAGTAAATGTGGCGCAACTTACTTTAGGCAGAACGCTCCACTCAAAAGACAACCTTCGGAAAAGTTACTCACTCCGCAATGACAACTGAACAGGACACACAAAATTCGAACCAATGTAACATCCGCCGGTAAAACAAGAGACTTTGTCCATCAGGGCTGCTTCATTTTAACCAGGGAGCGTCTCCCTGCGGGGAGCGGGATTCAAAGTCTCAAAGGCGCCTAACCCAGGTCCGTGCATGTATTTTTCTATGCGATGTGTCACACAAACTTTTAAACGGGCCGTCTTTCCTTTCTGCCCACCGTACGCCTCCAGAGACCAGCCCCAAACACCTCCACTTACACTGGAACCAGCTTTTTAAGCCACACAACTTGTGTTTTTCACTCCAGCAGATTTACAGATCCATTCGACCCATTAAAATGACACCTCTCTCATTACACAGCCAATGACAGCCCTGGGACCTCAGGGAGATCAGCCTGGACATGAAAGGATGGCACCTTCTACCTTTTCCCTTAAAAAAAAAAAAAATAAGTAAAAAAACTAAAAAACCTCCCAGGGATTTTAAGCATAATTAACTTGTATACTTTGGGGGGGGGGGGGGAAGAGAAAAAAAAATGAAAATTGGCTTCACCTGTGTCTCCAGCGCTATTTCCCACAACACCCCAAACCCTCCTTCCCACTCCTGTCCTCGGGGAGATCAGGAAGTCCCCGCGTGTTCCACGCTGGAAAGTGTCCTTATATAACGCGCTCCCATGCAAAGTGGCCGGGGGACCTGTCAAGCACTTTCTGCGAGTCTCTGAAGAAAGTCCATGTGCAGCCGACACTGTCAAACAACAACGCGGCTCCGGGGGCGGGGGCGGCGGCGGGGGCCGGGGGAGCCGCCGCGCCTGCCCTCCGTGGGCTTCTGGGCTCGACATCCGTGCGAACCACTCCGTTCTTTTTTCCAAAAAAAAAAAAAAAAAAAAAAAAAAAAAAGAAAAGAAAAAAAAAAAAAAAAGAAAGCAAAGCAAAGCAAAGCAAACGAGTCTTCCTTAAACTTTCCAGCGTCCAAACAAGTTTCGCCGGGCAGCAGCGGGCCCGGCCGGGGCCGGAGTCTTCGCCCCGGGCTCGCTAACTGAAACTACTTCCTCCCTCCCGGGGTCACCGCGGGGAGGAGGGGGTTGTTTGTGTCGCCGGGACGTGCCCCCGCGCCCCGGGCCGGCAAAGTTGTAAATATGGGGGGCGCCCAGGGGGCACCCTCGCCGCCGCCGGGAGGTATTGTTTCCGCCTCCTCGCCGCCGGCCGGGGCTCCGCGTCCCGGGCGAGGCCTGTCACCGGGCGGCGGGGCGGCGGCGGAGCCCGCGGCGCTCCGGATCCCCGGGCTCAAGTAGGCGCCGCCGGCCCGCGGCCTGCGCGCTCCGCCGGGCCTACGCCTCCCCGGCCGCCCGCCCGCCCGCCGGGAGCGCCCGCCAGCGCGGAGCCGCCGGCCGCGCGGGGACCGGCCCGCCGCCGGGAGGGCGGCCGCCACCCGCGGGGGAGAGCCAACTCCGGACGCGGCCCGCCGCGGGGCCCGGGCCGCCCGCGGGAGGCGCCGAAAGAAAGACCGGAATTTACCTGGGCGAATCGGCGTCGGAATCCGGGGAGGCCGCGGCCGCGGCGGCGGCGGCGGCGCGGAGACTATAATCCGGGCCGGGCGGGGGGGTGGCGACGGCTCCTCTTCCGTCTCCTCAGTGCGGGGAACATGGAGAGCCGGGGGCAGACCCGCCGGGAAGACAAATCGCTGCCGCCGCCGCCGCCGCTGCTGCTGCTTCCTCCTCCTCCTCCTTCTCCCACATAGAAACACTCACAAACACCCGGCCGGGGCCGCGCTACCGGGGGGGCATCGCCGCCGGCCGGGCGGCGGTCCTCCAGCGGCGGGGGCGGCCTCCCTGCGGCTCGGCGGTGTCGGGCGAGTCGGTACCGACGGAGGGAGGGGGGGGGGGGGGGGGGGGGAAGGAGCCCTGTGTGTGTGTGTGTCTCTCTCTCTCGTTCCGTCTCTCCCTCTCAGAACAAAATGCCGACCGGAAGTGCAGCTGCAGGAATGACTCCCTCCGCCGGCGCCAAACACTAACAACCACCCCCTCTTCCCCACTCCACTTCCGCCGCCGCGCCGCCGCCGGCTCGGTCCTCCGCCGCGCGCTCCGCGCCGCGCCGCGCGGCTCCCGGGCCGGGCCGCTCCGCTCCGCCTCAGGGCGGCCTCGGGCGGCCTGGGCCGGCGGCCCGGGAGCGGCGTGCGGGCGGCGGCGCGGGGCCGGCTCCGGGCCGGGCGTTTGCCGGAGGCCGGGCGGGCGGCGCGGGGCCGGCGCCGCCGGGGGTCGTGTGCGCGGAGGGGGCGCTCCGCCCGCCCGGCCCGGCCCGGCCCGGCCCGCGGGTCGCCATCGGGAGCCGGGCGCGGGGCGGCGGCTGAGAGGACGCCCGCCATCCGACGGCGACGGGGCATTCCCCCCCAGTGGCCCGGAGCACGGACGGACGGACGGACGGATGGAGCGCACCCCGCGGCCCCCGGGAGGCGGCCGTGGCGCCGGTTTCTGCCTTATTTTCTGCGGAGTCAGCGCGTCGCCCCGGAGCTGGAGGAGCGCCCGGCCGGTCGGACGGGGTCGTGCCCGGGACGCACTGTATTTCGGGGACTGTGTCTGAATCTCCTCTCTCTGGCGGCGGTGGCGGCCGGGGTTCCGGCCTCACTGAGCGGGGAGGCCTGTAGGCGCCGCTGTGGGGGCGGCGGGCGGCCGGCGGCCCAGCGGCCCGCGCCCCCTCGGCGGTGGGAGGAGCCGCGCGGGAGGCGCCGCCGCCGCGACCCGGCCGCCGGGTACCGGGACCCCGGGCACCGTTACACCGGACCCCGGCCGCCGGGCACCGGGCACCGCGACCCTGGGCACCGGGACACCGGGCCCCCAACCGCCAGGCACCGGCCACCGGGCCACCGGGCACCAGGACCCCGGCCGCCGGGCACCGGGAGCCCGCGGGCCGCGGGGAGCCCGGCCGCCGCTCGCAGACCTGCTTCCCCGGGGACGGCGAGGCCCGGCCGGGCCGGAGGACGGACGCGCTGCGGGGACAGCGCGGGGCAGGCCTCGGCGGCCGGGCCGGGGCTTTGCTTGTACGTTAGCGGGGCTTTCCTCCAGGTAAAGCGTGCAGGAGGTAAGCGGATTCCACCGAGCGGGCGGCATGTGTGCGCTGTATTTTCATGAACTTGGTTTTAATGGTAACGTTCATTGTAAATGGGAAATTTTGCCTAAAAGAAAAGAAAAGAAAAAAAAAAAGCAGAAGCCGGTTTGGCTTAGTGGATAGAGAGCGTTGATCTGCGGACTGAAGGGTCCCGGGTTCGATTCCGGTCAAGGGCATGTGCCCTGGTTGCGGGCACATCCCCGGTGGGGGGCGTGCAGGAGGCAGCTGGTCGGTGTTTCTCTCTCATTGATGTTTCTATCCCTCTCCCTTCCTCTCTGTGAAAACTCAATAAAATATATATATTTTTAAAATAATAATCACGGGAGGGACTAGATCAGATCTTGTTCTCTGCCCCCCCCCCTCCCCCCGGCTTTGCATGGGGCGGAGGGGCTGAGCCCAGCCTCGGGCGGGGCGGGAGCTGCGCTGGGGCCCGGCCTCGGTCTCCCTGGTTCCCCGGTGCGGGCGCTGGCGCCTCCCGGCAGGTGTTCGCGCACCGGCACCCCGGGCCCCGCGGCCCCGGGTGAAACCCAGTCCGCTGCCCCTCCCCGTGTTATCCGCTGGCGTCCTCCCGATCAGGCAGGCTGGTCACCTGTCTTCCCCAGAGCGTCCGCTGCCCCCATGGAAGGTTTTGTTCCTCCGCCGGTGTCTGTGGGGAAAGTGTGGCCGGAATAATGGCGGACACGCAGGTGCTGAGTGTTTGGTTAATGAATGAATGAGGCATGACCGCCTGCTCCCCTTACCTCCACCCCCAACTTCTGAACTTTGTTCCTTAACATGATTATATGTACTTAAAGGCTGCAGGTAACTTTATGAAAGAAAGGTGGAAACTGAAAAAGAAATAAGGGAAAATGCAAGTTTGTTGCGGAGTTCTAGGAAAAGGCACTTTGTAGACATTTGAAAAGCCCTCCACATCACCAGAAGCCCACAAACGAGCGGAAAATGTTTTTTTCAGGTTTCTGTAGATGGGCCTGCTGGAGAGGACAGTGGATGGAGCTCATGACCATACCCTGGCCAATTAGCTCTGCTCTCCTCCTGAGTCACAAGCTGTGCGGTTCATTCTGTCTGCCCGCCCCCCCCCCCCCCCCTTTATTGCAAAATACATGCTATTTTCGCTAAAATAAAGTCTGGGTGCATTGGCTTCGCTCAAATACAGCACTACTGGAAAAGTTCATTCAGCAAGTATTTAATAGGTACAAAATGAGTGGCAGTCCCAGTGATTCCAAAGGTGTGTGCTGCTAGGCCTTATATAAAGGCGCACATATGGCTGCTCTGGTTGCTGCTCAATTATGCTGTCAAGCAAAGCAAATGCTAGTGAGATTTATTTTTTACAGTTTCCTTCAGAAGAAAAGGTTCAGTGAAAGCCGAGGTTAGGATTAGTGTGGATATTTAAATTCACCTTTTAGCTTGCTGTTCATTTACATTTATTTTATGAAAGCACTAGGTGTACCAATAAATTAATAATTTTTGAAAACTGAAATAAATTTGAGAATTTTTACTTTCTAGTGGCTGGAAAAACAGACGAACCTTTTAAATTAAGATAATTAAGTACCAGCAAACTAGAACCTGCAATAAGCCCTTGGCTGTGATACAATAATCATTCAATTATGGAATTTTTGGACAAGAAAAGACAGTCTTGATAGTTATTTTATAAACATTAATACATTTAATTAGACATTGTTTCATAAATTCAACAGCCTGTTAATTATAAACCCAGATTAATCCTTAAGAACAGCTTTAAGTCTTATACAGATTTTTTTTCACTCAGTTTAAAATACTAAAATTTCAATTTGCTTAAGGAAACACAATTATCTTTCTATATGCTTTTTTTTTTTTTAATGTGTTTTATTGATTTTTTTACAGAGAGGAAGGGAGGGGGATAGAGAGTTAAGTATATGCCCTTGATAGGAATCAAACCTGGGACCCTTCAGTCTGCAGGCCAATGCTCTATCCACTGAGCCAAACCGGTTAGGGCCCTCTATGCTTTGTTAAATGTTCCTGGTAAACTAATAATTTTGCAGGCCCAGGTAACCAGAGTCTTGACATTATTGTAGCATTTACTTTTAAATTTTAGGTGACTTGATTTTCAGTTTCTTCTCCCATTATCAGAGACTTACTAGGTGCTTATTAGCTTATGATCAACACCTGCTACACATTAGGGACTGAAAACGACAAGATCTCTCTGCCTTTAAAGGGTTTAAGTTATACATAGTTTATACCAATTTTTTCCAGATCATGAGATTAAAGACATTGTTTCGATGCGTATCAGAATATTTCTCTATTAAATCAATGTGTTTTACTTGTCTAAATTTAAGTATCCAAGTTGAGATCTTGTGTAGAATCTATTTTAATCTTTAGTGTTATCTTGATTTCATTGTCTTGTTTCTTTTTTGGAGAGGGGGGAAGGTTTGGCATAAAAATTGTTTTTCTTAACCTTATCCATTTATTCTGCTCTTACAGTTTTAATACTTTTTCTAAAATAAGTAGATTTATGGTGGTCTTTTATCCTTGATTTATTCATTCTTAATTTATAGGGCAGCCCAATCATTCTTTAATCTGATTTGATATTACCCCCATTCTTTAAGTACTAAATTATAATACTCATTTTATTTGCCAGGGTAAACCTGATAGTCCCATATGTATTCTTGATCAATAGATTGCAGAAGATTTAATAAAATATTTTAAATGGATTTTAAGTATTAACTATTGAATATAGTCAGCTTGATGTAATTGAAAAATTATAAATTATTTTTATTGATAATACGAAATACGATTTGTCAAAAATAATAGAAATTAAAAATTTTAGAAAACAATTATCTATTTTATACTAACCACTTCTATCTTTTATTAGTGATAAAAATAACTTATAAGAACAAAATTTTAAAATATAGTAAAAAGAAGTAAAGGACATGTGTTTTATTTTATATTTAGGATAATTAAGTTACTTATTTCAAGAAACTTTGAAGAGTTAATTATAGATGTTGATTGAGGGTGAGCTACAAAAATATCAAACAATTGAACAGTCTGGAAATAAGTTCTGCAAATTTTTAAATGAAATACCTTAATCAAATTTGTGATAGTATTTGTGAAGGATATTCAGCATATTTTATCCATCTGTTAACATGATAGAAATGAATGTCCTTCAAGAACAAGCTTCGTCCTTTCATTAATCCTTACCTCTAAATTTATAGATTTTATTATCCATGCCATCCATATATAATCCTATGACTTGACTATATTAGTGTTTACATTTTTGCCTGTCCATGCCTTATGTTCATAAATCAAAGTGACCAGTTATGTGTTATACTACATTACAACTTTCAATGTGCATTGGATAGGGTAGGACCCTCAGAAAAATGCATTTCTGAAATATAATTATTTAGAGTCATTAAATCTTCATGAAAGTCTAATTTTAATGGAACCTACACATATGCTGAATGTGAACCAGAGAATTAAAGTATACATGTATTTTAGTACTAAACTAATCTGGAATAACATTGATTTTTAAATGTTTTTATCTATGAAGGAAGAATACAAAATCCATTAAAAACATCTAAAAAGAATATGGTAGGAGTGCTTAGGATGCTCATTTCAAAGCATCTCTAGAACAGTGTTTTAAAACTGGGTCATGTATCACTATGGGTTATGAAATATTGTAAATACAGTGGGTAGTAACCAGTATTTTTTATTTAATATATAGAAAAGAATAGAAAAATCTAAGAGTACATCTCAAATGGTAGAGTCTATATTTTTTAAAAATATATATATTTTATTGATTTTTCACAGAGAGGAAGAGGGATAGAGCTACAAACATTGATGAGAGAGAAACATTGATGAGAGAGAAACATCGATCAGCCTCCTCCTGCACTCTCCCCACTGGGGAAATGCCCCCAACCAAGGTACATGCCCCTGACCTGAATCCAACCTGAGACCTTTCAGCCTGCAAGCCGATGCTCTATCCACTGAGCCAAACTGGTTTCGGCAGAGTCTATATTTTTAAATGAATGTTTCATTTATGTGTGTGCATGTGCTAGGTTACCTTGTAATATATAGAGTTGGGCAAAAGTAAGGGTACAGTGCCATTGTGACATTCTTTTGAGTTAACAAAGCTATTTAGCCTGCCCATCCATCTTTGCATACAAACAACTGTGAACCTACTTTACCTCACCCCAGTATATTCCGTAGTATGGATTATAGGCTGAAAAAAAGTGGTGTTTTTTGTTTTTTTTTTTAATCTACAGTTTAGTTCTTTTACTTCCTCTCTTAGGAAAGAAAAAAGAATACTAGAAAGTTCTGATTGTGAAATAGTAAGGAACTTTAGAGATTTGATAATTGATTTCAGAAAGATGATCTTAAGGTAAAGGGTAGGTAATCTATGCAGAAATGTCAAATATTGAAGTTGTGAGGAGGAATTATTTTCCTAGTGGAGCTAAATTTGTTGTGTTTAGATTTATGACTGTTTTCTTATTGATCTGATGTAGCGCATCTGATTTTAAATGCCCAATATAAAATAAATATAAGGCAAAGAATATATTTGTTTCTATTTCTTTCCACCTGTTCAGTCTTAAAACAGGTATTTATTAGCTAGTCATTTGAGTGCAAAGCAAACTGCTACCTTCACAGAGGAATTGTTACAAGAACAGTTTATTCCCTGAAAATGAAACTTCTCCCTTCAAAAAATAACAAATTTTCAATAAAGTTTTTCTCTCTAGCCAAAGTAAATAATCATTTCTTAAAGTAAATAGTTAACTTTCATTTCCCATCCAACTCATTCACATATTTAAATAAGTACTTAAAGTTGAGTACAGAATTTAAAAGGGGGAAATTGAAAAAAGAAAATTGTGTATAGAATTTGAAAGGAAGGCAATATACTCTATAAGTGGGATGAAATATATCTACCAAACAGAAAATAAGTTAGGGAGTATGTTATAC